ATTTAAAATTAGTGTTGGAACGGCGAAAATATGATTTTTGCCACCGGAATCTCCAGATTTGGTTCCAAGTGAAAAATGTTAATTAGACATTAGCACTAATATGGTAGTCAAATCACGCTATTTTAGCTCTTCTGATTCTAAAAATGACTTTATTTTGGCGATTTTGGCTTTAGTTTGGCTAAATTTTGAAATTTTCGAAAAGGGATATAGGGTAAATTTTTAAAAATCACTAAATTATTATCATATTTGAAAACAGAAGGGTTAAAATAGCAAGATTTAACCATCAAAATGCCGAACTACGACTTTTCACATAGATCCAAATCTGGCAATTTCGGTGGCAAACAAAAACAAACCCACTGTTTTTAATCCTAAAAGCTCTAAAAATACTTAATTAAATCCCAATAATTAAAAAATATTTTTTTAAATATTTTTTCCTCCTAACAATCAAATCATGCTATTTTACCTCTTTTGACTCTAAAAATGACTTCATTTTGTCAATTTTGACTTTAGTTTTGCTAAATTTTGAAATTTTTAAAAAAGGGATATAGGGTAAATTATTAAAAATCGCTAAGTTATTATCATATTTGGAATCAGGAGGGTTAAAACAGCTAGATTTGACCAAAAAACTCCAAACCACGACTTTTCACATGAACTCAAATCCGGCGATTTCGGTGGCAATGAAACAAATTGAAGTATGAGTAACGATTTTATCTTTGTTTTCTTTGTGTTTAACATGAAATAACGTTACTTTTGTTAGCCCATGTGTGAAGGAAGTACCCAGGTACTTGACCATAGAAATAAAAAGTAGAAGTTTTTTATTCAAGCATAAAATAGGAAGTCTGATGGTTAAATACTCTGTAATTTCGCTATTTCCTACCGGAACTAATTAAATAATAATTTGTTTTACTCCGAGATTCACTTGATTTAACTTAAAAATTGAAAAAAAAAAATCAATAGCGACGTAGGTGAGTGATGAATAATTCATACCAACACTTTGAATATGAAATTTTTTCAATTTTGAGCTAGAATTGAAACAGAAACGACTCACCAGAGCGTGAAAAGAGTTACATAACGAATTTTTTCTCCGGAAATCTATGAATGATGCTGTGAAAATTCGAACGGTTTCACTTTTCGATAAAAATAATAATAATAATGTTTACAAAACAGAATTTAAAATCTAGTTACATATGTAACTGTGGAATGTGACCACGCCTTAAGAGCGTCCAGAATTACAAAGTAGCAAAAAATTGTATAAAAAGTCATAAAAAATAATCAAAATAGAGATTTCAGCAAAAGTTTATAAAAAAAAAGAGTTTTATTTCATTTTCGCCACCGAAACGGCCAGATTTGGGTCCATGTGAAATGTCTTGGTTTGGCGTTTTTTGACAATTTCAGGCTCAAATCGTCTTTCTGACCCAGAGTATGGCCCATAGCCTACTAAAATTTTAATTTTTTACACTTTTTTAATCTGTAAAACAGTCTCTTGTGTAAAAAGTATAAAACAGCAAAGTTGTAACAAGAGAAACATTCAAAAGAGAGATTTATGTGAAAGTGTGCAAAAATTCGAGTTTTGTTTTATTTTTGCCACCAAAATTGCCAGATTTGAGTCCATGTGAAATGTCTTGGTTTGGCGTTTTTTGACAATTTGGGGCTCAAGCCGTCTTTGTGACCCCGAATATGACTCATAGCCTACTAGAACTCTACACTTTTCACTATTTTTTAAGCTCTTGTGTAAATATTTGTCAATTTAATTTTACAGAAAAACAAATGAAAGTGCACACAGGATAAGTACTTCCTATTGGTTTAGCGATAATTTTATCTTTTATCTTTAAAGTTACTTTACCTGTAGATAATAATAATAATAATAATTTTTCATCAAAAAAAAATCCAAAAATTGAGAAAATTTTCCTTGTTTCGCAAAATTGGCTATAATGTGCAATTGTTGACTTTACCTAGATAACTTGATTTTATTACATTTACTTTTACTTTAAACGAATTAATTAGTGCCGGCAAGAAAAAAACAAGAATGTGACCGATTTTGTGTCAATTTGTACGAAAATCTGGAAACCAAGAATATTCAAGTGGACCCAAATCGGGTCAACAAGTGGCCCAAATTGAGAAAAACATCAAAAAAGCTCAGTTTTCGTCAACTAAATCGTAATTTTGTGTCAATAAATAGCGAAATTTAAAAACCAAGCAAATTCAAGTGGGCCCAAATCGGGTCAAGAAGTGGTCCAAATTGAGTAAAACCTTCTAAATATACAGTTTTTCTATAGTAAACTCCACTCTTATGTCAATAAATAGCAAAATTTGGAAACCACGCAAATTCAAGTGGACCCAAATCGGGTCGACAAGTGGCCAAAAACGGAAAAAAGTTTCAAAAAAACGTGATTTTTCCTAGAGGAGAGTAAAAGTAGATGAAAATTTGTCTCACCATTGATTTGAAGTAAAAAAAAGGGCTCAAATATCCAAAATAATCCAAAAATCAAGCACTAAAAGGGCACAAATAGTCCGAAAAACTCATTTTTGGTAACAGAATCGTCAAATATCGTATTGTTGTCACGCACACGTCCACACACAGTGTTGGAAACTTGCGTCTTACAAACTCGGCGTCTTTCGAAGCGGCTTTAGCTCTCCCTCCCTCGAGTTTTGACCGTGATTTCCAACGGCGAGCCATGGTCGACGTTTATTTTACCTGTTGATGGATAAGAAGCGTGCCTAACACATTTCCCGCCTTTATGGACGGCTTGAGCAAAAAAAAATTTGAGAAAATCGATTTTTTTGTGTTGAAAGCGGTGATTTTTTTCGAAACTAGGGGTCGTAGAAAGAAAATAAGTTTTTATTCGGGATCCTCGTGTCATTTTAAGTCAAAAAAGTTTTTTTCCGGCTATTTTTGAGCAACTTGAATTTTTTGAGTGCTAAAAAATTCCAAATTTTGGTACCACTAATCCAAAAAATGCTAGTATCCTCTAAACTAGCAGTCGTAGTAGTCGTAGTAGTCGTAGATTAATAATTTTTACATATTTGGATTTCTCTGGTCATTTTACGTAAGAATAAATTTTGTTCAAAACTTTTGAGTCTTTTTGAAAACTGTAGCTTTTTTAAAAATGTAAGTGTAACTTTAAAATTGGAAAAAAATTGCAGTTTTGTGATTAAATTTGAATTATTTGAATAATTTAACAAAAGCAAAGATTTTGTTCAAATTAAAAAAAAATTTTTAGGGTTGAAAGTGGTGACTTTGGTTTTGGGGGTCGATATTTTTAAAACTAGGGGTCGTAGACAAAAATTAAGCTTTAATTCGGGATCCGCGTGTTATTTTACGTCAGAAAAGTTTTTTCCCGGCTATTTTTGAGCAACTTGATTTTTTTAAGTGCTACAAATTTTCAAATTTTGGGACTACTAATCCAAAAAATGCTAATATCGTTTAAACTAGTAGTAGTAGGTTAATAATTCTTACATATTTGGATTTTTCCGGTCGTGCTTCGTAAGAATAACTTTTGTTCAAAACTTTTGAGAGTTTTTGAAAAATGTAGCCTTTTTGAAAATTGTACCGTAACTTTAAAATTAAAAAAAATACAATTTTGTGATTAAATTTGAATAATTTGAATAATTTAACAAAGGAAAATAATTTGTTCAAATGAAAAAAAAAATGTTGGCTTAAAAGTAGTGAATTTGGGTTTTGGTGGTCAATATTTTTAAAACACTAGAAGTCGTAGAAATAAATGAAGCTTCTATTCGAAATCCTCGTGTCATTATACGTCAGAAAAGTTTTTTTCCGGCTATTTTTGAACAACTTGAATTTTTTGAGTGCTAAAAAATTCCAAATTTTGGGACCACTTATCCAAAAAATGCTAATATCGTCTAAACTGGTAGTCGTAGATTAATAATTCTTACATATTTAGATTTTTCTAGTCATTCTATGTAAGAATAGCTTTTGTTCAAAACTTTTGAGTGTTTTTGAAAAATGTAGCTTTTTTGGAAAT